TTGTTCTCTCTCTCTCTCTCTATCTCTCTCTTTTCTCTTGGTGACTTCTGCCAAAAATACCACCTGGTCTAGCCAAGATCGAGCTTTGCAGAGGAACGGTCGTGGTCGTGGGACGATCCCATTCCGGTCACGCCTTCGGGTGTCCTTCTGTTTGAAAGACTCATGAAATGGGCAAGACCTCCAGAGATAGACGTGAATTGGCCAGGTGAAGTATTTGTGTGAAGGGTATTAGATGGTATTGGTATTGCATTTGATGTTTGGATCCTCAGTGGCACAGCCTGACATGCGACCTGTTGTGATCCCACGTCGACCGACCAGCTCAACCCGCCACCCGCCAGGCACTCCTGGAGAGCTGCGAGGCACGCTGACGTTAGACCCGCGGGACCCCGCGGCGGGAGTCGGTCCACGTGGCTCGGACGGTGGTCGGTCTGGACTGTTCAAAAAGGGAGAACGACAAGAGCATACAAGAGTGAACATACGTTTATGTGAATGAGCATACAAGAATGAGCATAGAGCTTATATGTTTAATATTAATCTATGTTCATGTGTGTGTATATATATTCTATAGTGCGTGGAGAAAGTCATAACGACGTGTTTGGATTCGTTCACAGGTTCAACCGTATCGGTTCCTTGTGCCACATGTCCCGTCCAGCAGGGCACAATGCTGCAGTGAAGAACAGGTCGGAAATGCCTTCCCTCTCCAGTGTAAGAAAGGAAACTGCAGCCCGGAATTGTGGCCATGATATTGAGTCTTTGCTTTTGACGCGTTTGGGAACCACTTGAACTTTGGATCCGCGCTCCTTAATGAATGGATCTGCTTTTACAAAGGACAAACCCGGAGAGATTAATGGTAACGGTAGGAGGGTCGTGCCCCTGCTGCAACAGTGGTAAATCGGAGGGTTCTGTCTTTCCGCCTATATTTTGATCCCGGACCAAAGATGAATTTATTATAGTCTATTTAAACGAACATCATGATGAGGCGGTAATCTAATCAGGCAACTTGAGTACCATACACCCTAAACCTCTGGTCAAATAATTTTGTGGGACCCGATAAAGACAGACCAAGCCATGCTAGCAAGTCTCATATTCTTGGACTCGACAGGGAACTCTAATGATTCCTTTTTGTAATTGATTGTAGTATTCATGTTCCTTTCTAAAATTATTTGTAATTAGGCATTCTGTGCAATCCTTTCATACTACTACATAAAGGATTGATTAAGGAATTGACGGCTTTGGGAAGCTGTGAGTTTTGAAGAAGAACTTGAGAAACCCATACTTATCAATACTCTCAGCAAGCCAACCATTGGCTTAGTAGTATT